GCCACGTCCTCCCGCCTCTGGGCTTCCTCCCATGGCCTCCCCCATCCCTGTCCAGCCCACAGCCTCCTCCCTCCACCCTGCCCTCCGCTAGACCGCCCCCAGCCGCTGGGTGTGGGTGAGGGGGGACCTCTGTTCCACTCTGTCCCTGCCTCCCCTTCTCTCAGCCGCGTCTCCACACCTGCTCCCGCCTACACAGGCTCACTCCTCTCACCTCTTCCTCCTGCTCCTCTCCCCGCCTTTCCTCCTTCCGAGGCTTCCTCTCCTCACCCCTCCCCCCCCCCCCCCCCCCCCCCCCCCCCCCCCCCGCCCTCTCCCCGCCTCCAGCGCCTCTCACCTCCTCCCCCTCTCCTGCCCACCCCACTCCTCACTCCTCTGTCCCGTGCCTTTCGCTCCCACCTGCTCCTGGCTCTCTCTCCCTTCTCTCCCCACATCCTCTCCCTTCTCTTTCCCATCCTGCTTCCTGGCTCTTTCTCTTGTTCTGCTTCTGCTCTCTCCCTCCTTCAGAGCCACGTGCCGCCAAACCGCTCCCTCTCGTCACCTCCCTGTCCTGCTCCCCCTCCCGGTCCTTTTCCCGCTTCTCTTGCCCCTCATTCTCTCTCCTTTCTCTCCCTCCTCTCTTCTCCTCTCCTCCACCCGAGCTCTCCCTCCTCCTCCCCATCTCTTTCTCCCACTTCTGCCTTCTCTTGTATCCCCCTTCCCTCCCTGCTCCCCTCTCTACTCCCCCCTCAGCTGTCCTCTGAGCGCCCCCATCTCCTCCTTCTCCCCTCTCCTGTTCCCTGCACTTTCTCCCCATGTCTTCTCCTCCCTTCTCTCTTCCATCTCTTTTCTCTCCTCCCTCCCTCTTCCTTTGAGTTCTCGCCTCTGAATCTCTCCTTTTCTTCTTCTCATCTCCCTTTCTCTGTCTTCTCATTTCTCTCTTTGTCTCCCCCTCTCCTTTCCATCTTATTCCTTTTCTCCTCCATGAATCTGCGCCCCCCCAACCCAGGGGTTATCCCCTTCCAGCAGCCTCCCTCCCTCACTCTGTGCCTTGTCTCCACCCAGCCTCTGTCCAGGGCCCCCCCATCCCTGCCCCCGACCCCTCTCCCACCCCAGGGCTCCCCTCTCACCCTGCACCCCCTCTCCTGTTCCCAGAGCGCTGAGGTTCCCAAGTTCTGAGCGGGAGGGGAGCCACCAGGGGTCCTCGCGGGCTTCCTGGAGGCGGCGGGGCGGCCAAGCCAGAGCCCCGGGGTGGGAGGACCCCTGTGACCCCCATTTTCTCTCTTCTCTGCCTGTCCGGGACGCTGGACACTGCCTGGAGGAACCAGACCTGCCCCAGGCCCAGGACGCAACAAACGGAGAACAAGCTCAGAGACTGGGAGCAAGCTGCCTAAAGACACACAGCACGTGAGTGGCAGGGCCAGGGCTGGGTTCCCACCCCCCCGCCCCCCACTCTCCTAGGGGTGGCCGGGAATGGGCTCCCTCACTTTGCTGACCCCTGGACTCCTGGCTGAGCTCACCGAGAAGAGGGCTACTCCTTCCTGCTCCATCCTCCTGCCCAGCCCCCACCGCCTCCTCTCCCCAGGCCGCGGGGAGGACCTGGCCGGGCTCTCCCTGCAGAGGAGACAACAGGCGCCCAGTGTTCCCGGGACCGCATCTGCCGGGACCCAGGCTCCGTGGGAACCCGACCTTCCCCGAAGGACCGGACGCCAGCGCCCCCTGCTGGGCGCGTCTCTCCGGGAGGGGTGCCGCCGGGGTCGGCTTGAGGCCAGAGACAGTCTCGGCGTGAAGTCCTCTGCCTCCACCTAGTGGCAGAGGGTGGAACTGCAACCCAGCTGTATTAGACATGGAACTGGTGCCAGCAAAAGGCCGACAGTGACTACAATGCAGGATCCGGAGGGGGCGCTAGTGGGGAAGGAGGGGGAAGGGAGGATTCCCCAAAATTCTGTAACAATAAAACCCTCTTATACAGCATACTCGGCATCATACCCAGCTTCCTGTGTGTGTGCCAATTAACCCTCTGGACTTCAAGTCATGCTGGGGGTAGATTCTCTCCAGTGTTGCCATGGAGATGCATATGGGGCGGTATGGGAAACAAAGGAAGGTGGGATTTGGTGTACAGTTTGCTTGGAAGTCTCTAAGAATTGGGACAAACTGAGTGTGTTTTCTTCGTAATGACACTGTTACAATCCTTACTGAATGGAAATGGGTGCAAAGGTGAATGACAGCTAAAAGGACCCCAACAATTGGCCCCTGGTCCTCACCATGGAGTCCCATCTGCAAGATCTGCTTCCTGTACAATTGCTTCCAGAAGCCACAGGCTACAGTGCACCATTTTGGGTAGTAAAGGGGCTTTTAAAAATACTAAAATTAGGCATAAAGTCTTTAAAAATATTTTCTTGATTTAGTTTTATATTCTTGTGCTCTCCTGTGGTTTCAGCATTAGTTTAGTTTATTTTTAAATATATTTTTATTTATTTTGGATAAAGAGAGGGCTAGGAACATCAATCATGAAAATCACTGATGGGAATGTGCCCTACTGGGACTCTAACGGTGACCTCCTCGTTCATAGGTCAATGCTCAACCACTGAGCCACACCAGCTGGGTGCCTTAGATATCATTAAAAAGTTGTCAAACCCTATGCTAAGGACCCCCAAATGCCAATGCGAAGCTCTAGGCTGGGGAAGGGGTTCCCCAATGCCAGAGAGCGGATGACATTGTGTAGGGCGGAGAGGGCCCTCCAAGGGGTGAGAAAGGACATTGGGAAACGGGCAATCACTGAGTTACCTTGTAGGTGCCCCTCCCCCCTCAGACCAGAGGTCAGGAGGCTGGGGAGGCCGGGGTGGGTGTCCAGGAGGAAAAATGAAGGCTGAGCTCAGTGGAGAAAGAAAAGAAGGGGCAGAGCAGAAAGCGGGGGGGCGGGGGGTACTGTGGGGAGGCGGAGAGGGCAAGAACTGTGCCTGCAGCCCTGCCTGGTGGCAGCTAAGTGACTCCAGGCCTCAAAGGCCCAGCTGAGGGACTGGGACTGGTCCTGGGGGCACTGGGCAGCCATAGCTGTGAGCCGGAGAGGAGTGGGGCCCGCTCAGCGGGCAGAAAAGCCCCCATGAGGGGGATGGACGGAGAGGGAATGATGGCGGCCAGGTGGAGGTGGGCTGAGGGTCCAGGCGGGGAAGGATGAGCCCAGGGCTGTGGTCATGGGGACACGGGTGGAGGGAGGAGGCAGAGAGGAACGGAGGCAGGGAGCAGCGCTCCGGTCTGCGAGGCTGGTAGGTGGCGGCACCACTCACTGGAACGAAGGCCCCCAGCAGCGCTGATGGGCGACGGTGGCACCGGCTTCCTCCGTGGCACCTGAGGCACCGAGGGCACCCGGCAGTGCGGCCGCACCTACACGCAGGAGCAAAGCCACGCAGGTACCTGGGGATTCCCGCAGGAAACCCAAAGGGCCACTGATGGGCCCCAAGAAATCCGCGTGAGCCAGTCCACAAGTGAGGACCCACTTCATTTCGTTTTTAATACATTTTTATTGAGTTCAGAGAGGAAGGGAGAGGGGAAGAGGGGGAGAGGGGGAGAAACGTCAGTGATGAGAATCATTGATTGGCTGCCTCCTGCACGCCCCACACTGGGGACCAAGCCCGCTCCTTGGCATGTGCCCTGGCCAGGAATCGAACCATGACCTCCTGGTTCATAGGTCCACACGCAACCACTGAGCCACACAGGCCGGGCTGAGGATGCACTTTACGTCAGAGACGGAAACCTCTCCAACTGATGTCTGGGGGGAGGGGGAATGAAAGCAACACACTTTTGCAAAACTACTGACGTACACGATGGGTTGTCTATGGAGAATCCCTCCAGAACAGTGACCAGACGGCCTGGGGGGGGGGGCAGTGTTGGCCGGGGAGAAGGCTCTTTGCTGTGGACCCTTCTGTACCTTCTGAGGTTCATGCTGTGCCCCCAGATACCCTGGCCAATAAACGGAGCCAGGAGTGCCCACTCCAGGGTCAGGAAAGAAGCGGAAGTTTAGTAAGGACAGAGCCAGGGAGCCGGACAGCTCAGACAAGGACTAGAACATTCCACACCAGAACTGTGGCCACTTGAGAGGGATCGACAGGCTTAGAGGACAAGCGGGGAGATAAATAAAGACTCAAACGGCAGTCCACTAAAAAATGACGAGCCCTGGCCGGTGTGGCTCAGTGGATAGAGCGTCGGTCTACGGACTGAAGGGTCCCAGGTTCGATTCCGGTCAAGGGCATGTACCTGGGTTGCAGGCACATCCCCAGTAGGGGGTGTGCAGGAGGCAGCTGATCGATGTTTCTCTCTCATTGATGTTTCTAACTCTTTATCCCTCTCCTTTCCTCTCTGAGAAAAATCAATAAAATATATTAAAAAAAAAAAAAAAAAGACGAGCCCTGCCCAGTGCGCTCGCTGGTCGGGCGTCATTCCATCAGAGAGGTTGCTAGTTCGACTCCTGGTCAGGGCACGTGCCCGGGTTGCAGGCTGGATCCCCAGTGCGGGGCGTGCAGGAGGCAGCCCATCAATGATCCTCTCTCATCATGGATGTTTCTCTCTCTCCCTTCCTCTCTTAAACCAATACAAAATATGTTAAAAAACCAAACTGGTGAAATAGCCCCAATGCTGACAGGTGTGTCACACAGACACTGAGGAAATGGGAGGGCGGGGCCCTTGGGCCGCTCAGGCCACCTGTCACCGTGCAGGGCAGGTGGCTGCCTGTGGAGGAAGAGGGGTCGAGGGAAGGGCCGCAGCTGGCCGTCCAAGGGCCTCAGAAAACAGGGTCGGCAACGCCAGGCGACTCCCGAGAGGACTTGAGACGTAAACGCCACTGAGCAAAGGCCAGGTTCCCAGACAATCCAGTGCCACCTTGCTCTGCCTCATTCTGAGAGTCCGGGGCCGTGGGAAGGGACTGGAGGCAGCTCGGCGACACGGATCCGGCGGCAAAGGCCACCCGCCCAGCCTTCCGGTCCGGGGCTGTGTGTTTTTCTGTTAGTCCTCACCCGAGGATCATTCTCCCACCGATTTTTAGATAATGGGAGGAAGGGGGTAAGAGAATCATCAATATGAGACACATTGATCAGCTGCCTCCGCATTCGCCCCGACCAGGGCCAGGATCAAACCTGTAACCCAGATATGTGGCCCTTGACTGGGAATCAAACCCAAGACCCTCCGGGGTGCAGGCCAATGCTCTAACCACTGAACACACCAGCTGGGGCGCAGGGTTTTATCTTAGTTACACCTGCGTGTCCCTGGTTAGCTGAGCTCAGGGGCACCCTTTGGGGAGCACAAGGGCCAGGCCCCTCGGGGCACCGGCCAGGAAGTCCGCAGGAGCGAAGCCAGTGGCAGGCGCGTGTGGAGCTGATTCTGTGACCAGCGGGGAGATCAACAGCGCCCCCACTGGCCTGTGCTCATCAATCTCCAGGAGGAAAATCAAGGGGTAAAAGTGATGGGGGACACCTTCCCGCCCCACGCCTTACGCCTCCCCTGCTCATGAAAAGGCCTCTAAGCTGCCAGTGACCCCACTTCCAGTCACGCGTCCCCAGGAAATAAACTCACACAGGGGTGGCCACGAGTCACTGTGGGGCTGTTACAACCACAGGAAGCGGGAAGCGAGTGAGACAGTGAACACTGGGGACCAGTTTAATCAGGACACAGCGCGGAGGAGCGTCCGGCAGCCATGACAACACGAGGGCCCTCTCCTGGGGTTTCCGCATAACTCACAGTGTGGACACGGAGATTCAGCAATGCTACACACGTACACACACACGCACCGGGAGCTGAGTCCACGGTGCACTTGGCTGCAGGAAGTGGTAACTGTCAAAACTTCATATATTTCAGTACATTCTCAATGGTTTTAACTAG